CTAAGGTGCAGGTGCCCATCCTGTGCTATGACATAATGTAACACACAATACAACAGTCATAATGTAGTAAACTATGAAGGGCTGCTCACTGCATCTTGAAACAAAAATATATCCTCCAGCAAATACACTAAAAAACCCATAGTGCTCACAACACATCCCTCAAGCCACACCCCCAAAAAAGGTTGAGGGAGTGGGGAGAAGAGCTTTGCAACAGGACTGAAAGTTTAGAACAAACCTAGGTTCTAGAAGACCACAGGGGAAGTGAGTTCCCAAGTAGCTGCAGTTCAAATCATTTAGGACTTTATTGGTTAATACCCAATACCTTGATTTTTGACCCAGAAACCTACTGGAAGCCAGCACAGATCCTAGAGCACTGCAGAATGTGTTCATGGTAGGACTCTTTGCTTAATAAGAGGGCACCACATCCTTCTTTAGTTTCAGCTTCCAAGTGGTCTTGATGCATAGCCCATCACAGGTTTCAGAGTAGCAGCCGTGTTAGTCTGTATTCGCAAAAAGAAAAGGAGTACTTGTGGCATGTTAGAGACTAACCAATTTATTTGAGCATATGAAGTGAGCTGTAGCTCACAAAAGCTTATACTCAAATAACTTTGTTAGTCTCTAAGGTGCCACAAGTACTCCTGTTCTTTTAGCCCATCACAGTAATCCAATGTCAAAGTAACAAAAAGTGATGGATAATGGTGATAAGGTCCCTGCATCCGAAAGGAAAGGCTCAGATTTGACAAAAAAAGATACTATCTGGGTCTCAAGGAGCAACACAGGACACCCGTTATATATGTGTGTGTGTTACAAATGGCAGTGCCACTCCCTTAGTGGGACTGCCACCATAAGGTTTTGTCTGTATAAGCAGGGTGCACTGATTTAACTAAATCAATTTAAAATTCATACCCTTTGGTTAAAATGATGCAGAGCGCCCAAATTCTGCAAACTCTACCAGTGTCTGTCTTCCTCCCACCCACCATTTCTTCCTCTCAGTCTTGTCTTGATTGAGTGGCAGCCATCTAGCCCTCATCCAAATGCCAACCTCAGATAGCCCCTGGGTTGTTTGTTCCACTATTCCAGTTGGGTCATGTGATTTACTTTCATATACAGAACAGCAATTTAAGTTGTTGCTTTTTAAAATGTCACTATTTTACTATCTCCATTCAATCTCGCTCTCTGTGAGTTGCCGCCTTAAGTGCTATAAGCAACTTAATTTGATGATTGAAAATAAGACTAAGAATCTGCTTTGGCGTTCAAAAGCAATGGAAGTCTAAATGTTTCAAAGAGGTTACTGTTTTTAAAAAGTCAAATCTGGTATATTTGAGTCACTTATAAGTTCTGACTTCCATAACTCTCAAACAACAAGTTCTTCCAATCCTATTTTCCATCATCAGGTAATCAAGATATCACCACTCTGTCTTATTTTAACTCCTTTGGGTTTCTCTCTGACACTTAGAGCACAAAACTGTGAGGCTGTACAAAAAACACAGAATTCCCTACAACTTTCCCACAAACAAGCAGCTACAAACAACTACCCAGGGGTAAGATTTCCCAAAATTTTCTCCTGGTACTGAACTAACATGCAGACTGAATCAGAACTTCCATGTTTAAGTTACAACCTTAAAGTTGACCAGTTGCTTTGATGTGATTGCCTTTACTTAAACATCTGTACTGCCATTCAAGTCCCACCTGAAGTTGTAAACATTTTGAAAGTGAATTATTTAATCAGTTACTTGTCTTGGTACCCATTAGGTGTTTTAGTATGCATGTAATTTATCTGACAGCTCTGACTATTCTTTAGGACCCATAGCTGTGCCAATTATTTCACATTTATAGATGAATGATAAACCATGACAATGAACTATTAAACAAAAGCTTCTTTCTGAGCAGATTACCAATCCCTGGAGTCATATCATGCAAAAAGGCAAATTAGCTCCTTGCACTGAACATTCTCTGGTTTCAGAGTAACAGCCGTGTTAGTCTGTATTCGCAAAAAGAAAAGGAGTACTTGTGGCACCTTAGAGACTAACCAATTTATTTGAGCATAAGCTTTCGTGAGCTACAGCTCACTTCATCGGATGCATACTGTGGAAACTACAGAAGACATTATATAAACAGAGACAGATTGATAGAGCCAGAAGAGTTCCCAGAAGTCACCTACTACAGGACAGGCCTAACAATGAAAATAACAGAACGCCACTAGCCGTCACCTTCAGCCCCCAACTAAAACCCCTCCAACGCATTATTAAGGATCTACAACCTATCCTGAAGGATGACCCAACACTCTCACAAATCTTGGGAGACAGGCCAGTCCTTGCCTACAGACAGCCCCCCAACCTGAAGCAAATACTCACCAACAACCACATACCACACAACAGAACCTCTAACCCAGGAACCTATCCTTGCAACAAAGCCCGTTGCCAACTGTGCCCACATATCTATTCAGGGGACACCATCACAGGGCCTAATAACATCAGCCACACTATCAGAGGCTCGTTCACCTGCACATCCACCAATGTGATATATGCCATCATGTGCCAGCAATGCCCCTCTGCCATTTACATTGGTCAAACTGGACCGTCTCTACGTAAAAGAATAAATGGACACAAATCAGATGTCAAGAATTAACACATTCATAAACCAGTCGGAGAACACTTCAATCTCTCTGGTCACGCAATTACAGACATGAAGGTCGCTATCTTAAAACAAAAAAACTTCAAAGCCAGACTCCAGTGAGAAACTGCTGAATTGGAATTCATTTGCAAATTGGATATTATTAATTTAGGCTTAAATAGAGACTGGGAGTGGCTAAGTCATTATGCAAGGTAGCCTATTTCCCCTTGTTTTTTCCTACCATCTCCCCCCCCCCTCCCCAGACGTTCTGGTTAAACTTGGATTTATGCTGGAAATGGCCCACCTTGATTATCATACACATTGTAACGAGAGTGATCAGTTTGGATGAGCTATTACCAGCAGGAGAGTGAGTTTGTGTGTGTATGGGGGTGGGGGGTGAGAAAACCTGGATTTGTGCTGGAAATGGCCCACCTTAATTATCAAAAAGAAAAGGAGTACTTGTGGCACCTTAGAGACTAACCAATTTATTTGAGCATAAGCTTTCGTGAGCTACAGCTCACTTCATCGGATGCACACCGTGGAAACTCTGTGTATATATAAAGTCTGCTGCAGTTTCCACGGTGTGCATCCGATGAAGTGAGCTGTAGCTCACGAAAGCTTATGCTCAAATAAATTGGTTAGTCTCTAAGGTGCCACAAGTACTCCTTTTCTTTTTGCGAATACACACTAACACGGCTGTTACTCTGAAACCTTGATTATCATGCACATTGTAGGGAGAGTGGTCACTTTAGATAAGCTATTACCAGCAGGAGAGTGGGGTGGGAGGAGGTATTGTTTCATGGTCTCTGTGTATTTAATGTCTTCATCAGATGCATACTGTGGAAACTGCAGAAGTGAGCTGTAGCTCACGAAAGCTTATGCTCAAATAAATTGGGTAGTCTAAGGTGCCACAAGTACTCCTTTTCTTTTTTTGAACATTCTCTGCAATTTTTCCTGACTGCCAGGCCTGTGATCCAAATCACTTTTTCAGACCATATGAATACTATTCCTCATCCTCCAAGAAGTCAAAAGCACTACTGCATGCTACAGATTCTATCTGGGCCAAATGCATGGAAATTTTAAAAATGTCATGGAATATTTGAGTGAGGGGAGAAAAGCAGTGGGAAGAAGAGATTTTTCCATCCCTCTAGTTTTTGGGGTTGCTAAAACAAATCTAAGTTGGAGTTATAAACAAAAAGAAGTCACTTGTTAAGGAGCACGCCCTGCCTAAAAAGCATGACCTCAGATAAACTGCAGACTTTGGAAATAGCAGAATGCTGGAGAACTGTGCCCTTTTCTTCTCCCCTCCCCTCTAAGAGGAATTTGATCTTAGAACTACCTGAGTTCATCAACTAAACAAACACAAGTTTATTTTTCTAAGGTACTTCATGGAAGGTCACACTGTCTGATTTCAGCATTTGGGGTTTACTCAGACTGTTCTCTGCAAATTTTAGCTATTCCTGGCTATTGGTCCTTTCTTTTACAAAAGTTTGTCTTAATCCCCAGGAGAATGTCAAACGTCAACGCTTAAACTATTTGATCTAGCACAGGCTTTCACAGAAAGCTACTTCCCCTCATCTGTGTGAAACAGCTTGTGATCATTTCAGGCAGGTCCCAGAGCGATGAGGCAGCTGCTCCTTGGTCTGGAGGGCACTCACCTGAAGGGTACAGGGTAAAATCCTACCCCTTTCCCAGCTATAAAATCCCCATGAGAGTTTGCTCAGTGCCACAGCATCTAGGGTCAATAACATGCTTAAGCCACCAAGGTCAAACATTTCCGGGCCTGCTGTGACCGATGCCATCAGGCAGAGGTTACAATGCTTGACTGAAAGGCACTTGGAGACGCTTAGCGTGTCCCTGCGCAGCGGAAAAGATCACGCCCCGCACCACGACAGGGTTCCACCTGTACTGCAATGACGCCCCAAAGTCTGTTCCGTTTTCACCCCGGCACTTCCACCTGCCCGCCCCGCAACTTCAGCCGGGCCCGTCCGAGGTCCGGCCCGGCGGGTGCTTCCTCGCGCCAGCGCCGCCCCCGACAGCGGCTGTCGCCGGAACGCCGGCAGCCCCGCTGAGGCGGCTGGAGCCCGGCGGGGGCGGGGGCGCGGGAACCCCCCCCTCGCGCGCCGACCCGACCCAGCACGCGGGGGTGGCGGGGGACCGTTGGGTCAGCCGGGGGAGGGGCAGAGCTCTGACCCCCCCCGCCCCGAGGGTTACTCACTTTTAACCAGCTCCTCCCCGGCAAAGCCGGCAGCGCAGCTGGTTATCAGCGCACAGGGTCCCTCCACCGCCATCGCTCCCCCCACCCCGGCCGCCCGGTGCTTCCGCTTCCGCCCCAAAGGCCCGCCCCTTCCGGTCTGGTGAATGGTACCATCCGGGCCGGGCGAGCGGCAGCTTAGAGCAGTAAATGACCGTCGCCGTGGAGGGGGTGGCCCAGGCCGGAGGGGCGGGGTGTCGCTGGTAGGGGCAACCCGCGTGGGCGGGGTGCCCAGAAGGCAGAAAGTTCCCGCCCGCACCAGTCACATGGAATGTTCCTCCCCCGGCAGGGGATGGTACGGTCCGGCCAGCGCGTCCCGTTGCTAGGGCACGGTCACGTGCACCCTCATGCCCCCGGAGCGGGACGCGGGAGCTGGAGCGCTGGGCGCCGATTAATCGGAAGCTGCCATGGCCGAGGTAGTCGGGACGGGAGAGGAAATAGGAGCCATTTTGGTCCAGGTAGGTCACAACTGACCGATTCCCCCCGCCCCGCACAGAGGTCTCGGGGGGTTCAGCTGCCCCCCTTCCCAGGAGCCTTTGCGCCTTTGCCCCAGGCCAAACTCCCATGAGCCTCTGAGGGGCCAGCCAGTCTCCCCCCCGGGCCGGGGACTGGGAGGCCGGATGGGTCATGGCTGGGGGGCAGCGCTGAATGGAGGGTCGAGGGCGGTTGACACTGGGGCAGGCAGCCAGGCCCCCATGGCGGCTGGGCAGGGGGTACCCCTGGGTGAGGAGCTAGGGGTGGTGCCGAGCCTGAGCTCGGTAGCTGTGTGGGTGGGCACCACAGCTCGAGGAAGCCCCGAGCCCCCGGTGGTGGGAGGGTGGCACCACTGAATGGCAGGTGGATGGTGAGGTTAGGGCCGGGGGCCTCAAACTTCATCGCACCGTGACCCCATCCTGATCACAAAAATTACTACACGTCACCAGGAGGGGGGACTGAGCCTGCCCGAGACCTGCCATCCTGGGGATTGGGGGAGCTAAAGCCGAAGGGCTTCAGCCCCAGGAGGGGGGCCTGTAACCTGAGCCCTGCCACCCAGGGCTGAAGCCCTCAAACGAAGCATAAATTAGAAAGTAGCAAGCTGTTGTTTCTATTGGAAAGAAATCAGTCATAGTAAATAAAACTTTCTACAAGCTGTAGGTGGTAACAGTTGCTCTATAATTTAGGTTGTAATATAGTTTAATGCATATCCTTCACGGATCTCAAAGACTTTACAGACTGAGGATATGATCTGCTCAAATTGAAGTAAATTTAAAACTTCTACTGATTGCAGTGCATGTAGGCTATTCAGATGGGTGAAAGGAAGTGCAGAGAGATTAAGGAGATCACCCCAATGACCCACTGAGTTTATGGTAGCACTGGCAATGTTGTTGGTGAGGCATATTCAATCAAACCTGGGCCCCACTGCAAAATAGTTTGATTGGACTCTAGACTGAAAGGTACAAGAGCTAGTTTACAACCTTATCCATGTCATCTTCCCAAGCTGATCTCCTGTAATGGCTGGGCATGGGAAGGGGAGACAGTAGGGAATGTATTCACAAATGGTCTGTTTATGGAAAGAAATACTGGCACAGTGGAAGATGATTTGCTGGTAAACTGGAGGTAAGGACCTGTGATATAGTCTGGACAAAGGAGTCTGGGGCGGAGGGGGGGGGATTCTGGTATCCCCGGGGATTCAAATTTGAATTACTTCACAAAGCCACTTGTACTCTAAACTCTGTGGCACAGGAATACGTGTAGAAAATATCACCTAGAATTTCAAACTGTCTCTGATTGGATGGGGTTGCCTGTGGCCTCAGGTTTAGGAACATTATCTGAACTGGTGCTAACTTAGAACTCAAAGTCCTAACTCAGTAGGGGGATGGTATCCTGCCCATGTAGAGGGAGTGAGTTGATTTAATAAGTCTTTTCCATTTCTGATTACTTTGATCCAGTACAGTTCCTCAAGTGTTATTTTTCCCTTTGTGAATAGAAAATAAAATGCACTTATCTGTGGTGGCTGCACTAGCTATCATTCAGCTTCTAGTTGAAATTCAAGGGGCTGGTTAGCCAGGTTTCAGAGGAGGGGATGTGGGCCTTGCTGTGAATAATGGGATGGGGGTCTGTGGCCCAGTGGGGAGTGAGGAAAATGGTTGTCCTTCAGACACATAAAATATAGGGGGATATTTTTTCTTTTTCTCCTTAAAGGCTAAGATTCTACTTCTGTGAGGTGGCAGGGTGAAAGGAAAGCACCTTGAGTCACGAATGTCTCAGCAAGTTGGCTGCGGTACTTGCACACAGAGGAGGGAAGGTGGATGGTCTGGGGAAACTTAATTATATAAATGTGTTTTATAATGTGTAGGAATATATATAAATCATATGTGTATATATAACAATGTATGTATCATTGACATTTTGCTTTTATGTTATCTGTATAATTATTGTTTGTCTGTCTTGTCTATTTAGATTTATAAGTTCGGGCAAAGACTGTCTCTTCCTAAACATTAGTAAAGTTCTTAGCATAATGGGGCCTTGAATCTAGTTGGGATCTTTTAGTGTTACCACAGTACAAATAATCATAATCAGTGACAAAGACCTATGTGATCTTGATGTACGCTACTTCAGTGAATGCCTCTGCCTTTCAAAACTTTTGCAGCACGTGCATGCCTCCAGAACTGTGCCAAGAGTGACGCTTGAATGGAATGGGGTCAGGGCCCCACTTGGTAGCAGGCCCTCACTTCTGAAGCTCGCTCTCTCAGGTGGCATTGTAAGATGTTGTCCAGGTTTTTGCACTAGCTGTCAGCTTCAGAAGTCCTTGGCAAGATTTCTCTGTGTCTCCTGTAAAATTGCAGGGCTGCAGGGGCTCACGAGGGTATTTGTGTCCTCTATTTAGGAAATGTTTTTGCTTTGAATTGAAACCATGTGAAGTACGCCATATGTTATAGTGATATGTGTGCATTATTGGTATAACAACATAATTTTGTAGGTTCAAGAAGACCTTCACCAGCTTAAGGACAAACTGACAAGCATCAACCTTGAACAACATGGAGAGGGTGTGGATGTTCACGTTCTTGAAACAGCCATTGAAAGAACTGAAATTGGGCTGAGAGTAAGTAGATCCACAGTTCAAACAGAACAGGAAGAACTTGCCAATAGTGAAGTATGTGTCAGTAATTCATTGTAAATACATGGGTCTAAATAGTTGCCTCTGTCTGTATTTCATTTCTGAATAGCAAGCAACAAGATGCACCAAGCATTGTATCTCAAAGCCATGATTGCACTTTTTGGATGGTCAAAGTCAACAGGCCTTGTGGCTTATGAAGTTATCCAAGATGTGCTATAATTACTCATAAATGTCCAGCCTGTCATTCCTTTTCAAGTAATTACAAGAGCCAGAATGTTAAGTTAATTGATCCAAGTGAATACGCTGAGTGTCCCTAATTCCTCTGTAATAATCTAAACTTGATTTTTTTTTCTCTAACAGAAACATGCTGAGAATTATTTAAATGCCATAAATAGAAGTGTGTTGACTATTCCCTATACTGATGAAAAAGAAAGATACTCAGAACAGCACCCCAAATGGTAAGGAAAAATGGAAATGATTTTATTGTGGAAACTAATACAAGTAAATACTGTGAAACAGGGATTGGCAACCTTTGGCCCACGGACCGCCAGGGTAAGCCCTTGGTGGGCCAGGCCGGTTTGTTTACCTCCCACGTCTGCAGGTTCGGCCAATTGCGGCTCCCACTGACGGCCGATGCAGGCCAATGGGGGACGCAGGAAGCAGTGGTCAGCACATCCCTTGGCCCGTGCCATTTCCTGCAGCCCCCATTGGCCTGGAGCAGCGAACTGCAGCCAGTGGGAGCTGCGATCGGTTGAACCTGCAGACGCGGCAGGTAAACAAACCGGCTCGGCCTGCCAGGGGGCTTACCCTGGCGGGCCACAGGCCAAAGGTTGCCGATCCCTGCTGTAAAAAGTTAACTTTCACATTCAAGTGGGGCACCCAAATAGTGGAATTTATATATTCCTACCAATGGAGGGAAACAGGAAAAAAACTTTATAATGTCAGACTCCTCTAAAAGGAATGGAAGCAGCTGAGTATTTAATCCATCAGTTGAAACACTTAACCTGGCTGAGGTTAATAGATAAGTGCTCTCTTCTAATTCCAGAATCACATGTCTGGAGAAATACGTTGCATTGTTAAAATTGTATTGATTCATGGATTGCTCTTCTGTATTACATAAAATATTGAAGAACAATATAAAAACAAAATGCAGTTCCAAATAGGTATCTGAAGCTTTTCTGCTGACTCATATAACTGCTATTTTTTCTGTTTTGTTATACATGAATTTTAGTAAAACTACAGTAGCCAACCAGATGGAGGCAGTACAAGAAGTATAGGTAAAACAAGAGCAAGTCTTGTAACTTTTATTATTTCTGTTTCTTTCTAAACCAGGAGGCTTCCTATTGGTGCTGCTCAGAAGCAGTTTATTTTTCCACGGGTGCCTGTTAAACCTCTGATTACCCAGCCGTGTGGCAGATCAGCAGCACGTATTTCTCCAGGTTCGCAGGTCTGAAATAACTTATTACTACTTTGACAAATAGACCCAAAGTAAATATTGTAGACTTACTGTAAGGGTCAAAAAGCTTACCAAGAATGCCCTGGGTCTGAGTGTGTTAAATATGTGAAATTGCTTAGCAAATACTCCTGTAATTTACATTCTCTTAGCCCTCCTGTTCCAAATGCCACACAGAGTCACTTTAGGCCAGCATGGCCATTTGGTAGCTCAGGGTTTTAGAAAATTCTCAGAAGAATGAGCGCTCCTCAGAGATGGGAGGCCCTTTTCCTGTCTTCAGAGCAAGGTAGAGGACTTCAAAACTCTCAGGGAATCCTTTAAAAAGAGGCTTTTCAAGGCCAAGAAAAAGCCTGCCGCCTGTTTTCCTTTTCACAATGACATCAAAGAGATTGTGGCACCTTAGAGACTAACCAATTTATTTGAGCATAAGCTTTCGTGAGCTACAGCTCACTTCATCGGATGCATTCACGAAAGCTTATGCTCAAATAAATTGGTTAGTCTCTAAGGTGCCACAAGTACTCCTTTTCTTTTTGTGAATACAGACTAACACTGCTGCTACTCTGAAACCTATCAAAGAGATTGTTAGGGAATCCTGGAACAAGTTAGCTGCTTGTTCTGCTGTAAGCAGAGGTGAAAGTAAGCCGGTACGCCCTGGTACAGCGTACCGGCAAGAGCCGATGCACCATACTGGGGCAGTTTAAAGGGCCTGGGGCTCCCAGCGGTGGCTGGAGCCCTAGGCTCTTTAAATTGCCTCCAGAGCCCCGCCGCTGGAGCCCTGGGGTAGCGGCTGAAGGGCTCCGGGGGCTATTTAAAGGGCTGGGGCGGTAGAAGCAGGGGAGCCCTGGGCCCTTTAAATAGCCCCTAGAGCCCTAGGGTAGGGGCGGGGCTTTTGGGGCTATTTAAAGGGCCGGGGCTCCAGCTGCCTATGCCGCCCCAGTCCTTTAAATAGCCGCTGGAGCCCCGCCGCTTCCCCAGGGCTCCGGCAGCTATTTAAAGGACTGGGGCGGTAGAAGCAGGGGAGTTGCGGGCCCTTTAAATAGCTCCCAGAGCGCTGGGGTAGCGGGGGCTCCAGCAGCCTCTGCAGCTCTGGTCCTTTAAATAGCCACTGGAGCCCCGCCACTTCCCCAGGGTTTCGGGGGCTATTTAAAGGGCCTGCGGCTCCCCTGCCTCTACCTGGGAAAGTGGTGGGGCTCCAGCGGCTATTTAAAGGATCGGGGTGGTAGAAGAGAAGAGCCCTGGGCCCTTTAAATAGCCCCCAGAGCCTCGGGCTGCTGCTGCTGCTACCCAGGTGGTGGTGGGGGGGGCACTTACATTACAGGGTTGGCTGGGGCTGGCTCTGACCCCCTCAACCCCGCCCCTTCCACCCTAGGCCCCATCCCTTCCGGGGCCAGAGTTGGCCCCAGCGTACCAATAAGTCACTCGACTTACTTTCACCCATGGCTGTAAGGCTTCAGTCCTGTAGGCATGTGCTTAACTTTACTGCTGAAAGTTGAAATCAATGGCACTAATGTTAAGCATATGTATAAGTGTTTGGAGGATTGGGGCCTAAAATGGTGCCTCTTTTTTACTTAAGAGATGCCACAAGCCCTGGGAACTCTTCTATGCATATTCATAGTGATTACCTTTACAGAAAAGTCAGCTCTCCCAATGAAAATATGATATTTGGCTGTTTTTTACAAGAAGAAATTTTGATTTTTTTTTCAGAAGTTATGTTTTTTTGAAAAATTTTGATTAAAATTTTTGTTTTATTCTGAGTTGTCAATTTTGATTGGTCAGTTTAGTCAGACAGTGATAATTTAAAAAAAAATATTTTGAAAAAAAAAAAGAAATTTAAAAAATTCAGTGCCAAATTTGAAAAATAAAATTTCTATCAGAATGAAGTATCTCTGAAATTTTCACAAATTTTAAAAAAGTTTTTTGATAAGCTCTAGTCAGCATTGGGACCATTGGCTGAATAGTATCCTTTAGGCTATCCCCTAGTTATCTGGTATAATCCAGAGTTCTCAGGCTATTTTGAATTAGTTTTTTAAATTAGGGAAGCATCAAATGGGCTGAGAGAGGGCTGTTGGTAGGAGGAGCTCTGTTGGATGCCAGAACCCTAACAACAAGGTAGGGAACAAGGCAACTTGCAGGAATGAACCAAGGATCAGCAGCCCAGATTTCATACTGCTGGATCCCTCTGCAGAAAATCAATTTATAAATTAAGACTAAAATTTCCCTTGTCACTGTAAATTGAGGAAATTTGATCTAGAAATCTTAAAGAAACAATGAATGTGGAACTCTGACCCCCTGTTTGAAGAGGGATTGTTCAGATTACAACCACTCTTTAATTCTCCTGGTTTCTTTCTGTTTTGAGATGCAACCTTAACATTACTTTAATATGTGTCTGTGCACTAAAATCCCATCATTTACACTTTAAAAAGAATGTAAACTTTACACTTCTCTGGGGTTCTGTTGAACAGAACACCCACAAGACCATGCAATCTGGAATGGAAAAAAAGTGCTGATGCAGAAAATGGTTTTTAGAATCTTTTGGAAACAAAATACAGTTTCCTAGAAAATGTTCAAGCACTCTGCTGTATAAAGACACGTGTCATGAAAAATTATCAAAGGCCAACTAGTGTATAGTCGGAGTATAATCCGTGGTCTTTCAACTGTTACATGCACGGGTGAACTTAATTTAGAGCAGGACACACACTACACCCTACCATGACTTTCCCTTGAGGGGGTTTGGAGCCCCATTGTCCTTCCATTTCTGATATCTGTGACATCTGCTTAAAAATGCATATCCACGGACACACAAGATAGCCCTAATTTCCCATTATGAAGTAAATGACAAACAGTGCTGTTTTGCCAGCTGTTCTACATGCATGGCATGCTAACATAAAAGCTTTTATTATTAAATAGTTGTGAAATCCAGCTGGGAAATTACCACCTATAATTCCCCACTTTCTGTCTTTTAAACTAGGTAATCCCCAGTTGCAACTATAAACTGTTTTTCCACATTAAAAACAATGTAAGGTGAACAGTTATCAGTTGTTAAGGGTACTTAAGCATCTACAGGCTTAGTTTATTTAACCTGTTGGTTAGAGAAATCAAGTTTCAAATATATATTTTAGATTCAGAGAGAAAAAAATAGTTCATATAGCATTATCTCTGTGGTTTGTGGTCAGTAGCCCGCTGCATGATGGTAGATATGGAGCGTAAGTTGTGTTTGCAGTAGTTAGCAGAAAACAAGATTACAATCAAATTAACATAGACTATATTTCATATACAGATTGTTAGAATTCTTGCCATATGCCAGATAGGCTGGCCACAGATGTGCTAGTATACTCTTGAAATTATTATTTACATGCAGGTACAGTATTTCTGAATCATAGCAACAGCAGGATGAGATTGTGCTAGCCCAGATAATATGGAAAATCAGGATGATCATTCTTGCTTGTTGTAATTGGGATTGTTCTTCCAGGGAAGCCTCAGAGACTTACACATACATCTCCCACTAGGATTAATTGGGATTGTCTCTTAAATCCCCTGCACAGCAATGATAGTGAAGACCTTAGTGTCTCTACAGCTGGGTAGTTCAAACTTATTTAGAGAATCTGCTAGGTTGGAAAGACCTGAACTGATTGGTTTGTTTTTCTTTTCAAAAACTGTTTTACTTGTGGCGTCCTAAAGACGTAATATGGGTTCCCTGTTCTCTCATTAGTATGAATGGGAGTTACAAAGGTAAATGAAGAAAATAGACTCTATAATACTGTCAACTAGGTGCAAGCTGTTGATTGTTAGGGATAAGAATTGGTTTAAAGTAGACAAATATACTTTTTGTTTCAAAGACTAATATGGTATAGTCAAAAAGAAAAGGAGGACTTGTGGCACCTTAGAGACTAACCAATTTATTTGAGCATGAGCTTTCGTGAGCTACAGCTCACTTCATCGGATGCATACCGTGGAAACTGCAGAAGACATTATATACACACAGAGACCATGAAACAATACCTCCTCACACAATAGATAAGCTATTATCATCAGGACAGTGGGGTGTGAGGAGGTATTGTTTCATGGTCTCTTTGTGTATATAATGTCTTCTGCAGTTTCCACGGTATGCATCCGATGAAGTGAGCTGTAGCTCACGAAAGCTCATGCTCAAATAAATTGGTTAGTCTCTAAGGTGCCACAAGTACTCCTTTTCTTTTTGCGAATACAGACTAACACGGCTGTTGCTCTGAAACATGGTATAGTCAGTTTACAGGGTGGAGTTCACCCCTGGATAGTGGGCCATGCACCACTTAAATCCTCAAAAATAAGCCTTATGTGGTGGACAGGATTGGTTGGCCCTCTATATGGGCTGAATTTCACCCAGTATGAAATGACATTTGTACTGAAGTAGAATGAGACTTGATTGTAACATACAAACTATACAGTTCTGTGGATAGTGAACCAGTATGTAGAAGGGAGAAATACACAGAACCTCCAGTAGTACGGAGTCCTTTAGCAGCTGATCCACCGCCTGATGGCACAGGTACACACATCTACACTGCTCTGGGTTGTCCCTTTTCATTTATCTGTTAGTGGTGAGGCCTACATGGTACTTCCCAGTTATCCTGACCAGAGCCAGTGACACCAGGTGGGATGCCCCATCTTTTCCCTATTGGCTCCTTCCCTTGGCTCCTGTTGTGTCCCAATTACCCCAAAGGCACTCTTTGAGCATCTTCCATTTCTCTGGCCAGTTTAAAAGTGACTGTGGCACACATCACCCATGATTTTTCTAACTAAAACTGGAATAAGTCCTGTACAGTACGTTTGCAGGGATTACCACTAGATTATTTGCTTGTTGTACGTATGTAACATGCCAGTTGCCCTGTCCATCACATCCCCTTCTTGTTGTGCACTGTGAAAATAGAAGCTGGAGATACAGATGATAGAAGTTACAGAGAAATAGACTGGATGATCTAATAGGTCTATCTCCCTGCAAATGTAAGATTGTTCCCAAAAGTACATTTACATTTAGAAAGTAGCTTTTGTCAGCTTTCTTTCTTAAGCATTTCATTTCTCATTATCCTGAGTGGAATTTGCCACTGGGAGATTTATCAGTTTACTGTCAGCCTGTGACTAGGGAGTTTACATTGTGAGTTGTCTCTTGTTTTTAATTGAAAAGGTCTTCAGAAAGAACTATTGCAAATTTCTTTCCAACCCTTGTTTAATAGCACAAGCAGTTTGCTTGTTGTATAGTGATGTGGTGTGGTAATAAAATAAATACTGTACCACAAAATCATTGTTGAGGTGAAAAATGAACTTTCTGCCTGTATGCAGCCATCTAGGTAAAAGAGCAATTTGTGTAGATAATAACTTTTGTTTTTGTAAACCAAAGTTTGACACTCACATTTGATATGTTTGCTTGTAATTACTTTCAAAAGAAGAGGATACAAAGGTCAGATAAATTCAAACATGTTTAGTTCTTCAATAAATAAAACAAATAGAAGATTGCAATTAGTTTAAGAGATCATTTTGAAGGTATATATAAATCTTATATATAGATTTATTTTGTTTTTCAAAAATTGACACACCCATCAAGAGAATAAGCACACACATCAAGGAGAAAATAGATCCTTGTGGCCAAAAATCCTGGCTTATTTTCTGTCCTGAACTGAATTTATTTACTTACTCTCAAGTACCTATTCATTCAAGACTGATCCTGCACCCACCGAAATTAATAGGAAGACTCCTAGCGAGGGAGGAGAGGGTGGGGAGAATTGAACCAATTTTGAGTTTCAAGCTGTATTTTAATCCTTGCCTCTAAGTTTCTTTGCTTTCTATATGGTAATTTATTTCAATATATTTTCTGTTCAGCTACAGAAACTCAAGTGTTGTTTATGCCTGTAACTGATCTTAGAATTAGATGTTTGCTGTGTCTCTTGCATACCTTTTACTAAATCCGAGTATAGATTTATCGTGTAAAGATGTAGCTAGAATCCGTTATGGTGCTTGCAAACCTAGTTTGGAGTTTACCTTTGGTGACCCTGAGAGAAAAGTGTCCAACTTAACAGAGTGAGACTTAAACTTGCCTGTTTAGCCGTAGTACATACAGAGTTCATTGGCTAAATCTTTCACTTGGATGGTGACAGGTAAATCCCAGGCTGGATTTTTAGTCCCATCCTCCTCACTGGAATGTTTAATTTTTTAAAATTAGGAATGTTTTCTTTTGGCAAAATAGAGTAGATGTTCATTTGTAGATTCAATGATAGAAACTACATGCAACCTACATCACTCAAATGGATCAAACTTAATGTATAGTTTTCCTGAAATTTAACTAATGTATGAGGTGTAACTCTAGAACTTTCAGGACATGTTAAATAAGTAGATCCAACAGAGTTTGGTGGAATGATATCTGTGAATAGTTATTTTGACTTCTTCTGTATTAATTATCAAGTAATCTAATCACAAAAACATTTTTTCATTATTTGTCCAGTTCAGTGGATTGTTGAATAACATTAATCAAATTATTTGAAATTTTCTCCCCATTTATTGATGAATTTATTCATGAGCAATGTTTTTCATTATTCAATCACTCTTGTTTTTAAACATTTTAGTTTATGTAGTAAATATATTTTGAGAATATGCATAGTATTTTTTATGTCTTTGTTTCAGCACAAGCTTGCAATGAATGTGAAAATCATGTATGATCCAGGCGACGCCAGTAATAGAGTTCTTTTAAAACAGAACTATGGAATCAGCTTGCCACTTATTAATAAGAGAAAATCAGTTCCTGTAAGTAATTTGTTTCAGTGCCCTTTTTATCATTTTTGACCTTATTTTTAGTTTAGGCTTTCATATTATAACGTTTTACATAAGTATATCTCGCCTTTCTCTCTCTCTCTCTCTCTTTTTTTTTTTTTTTTGTTTGGATACTTCGTAAGTATTACTAAGATCATTTTAACAGAAAAACAATGCTGTCAAATACAGTACTACAGCGGCACCGTGTTTAAAGGCCTTGATCCTGCGAAGACTTAAGCATGTGCTTATCTTTACACACTGTGAGTAGTAAGTAGTCCAGTTAAAGTCTGTGAGTAAAGTTAAACATGCATACAATCCTTTGCAAGTTTGGGGCTGATGGGATTTTGGGCCTGCTCCAAAGTGCATTGAAGGAAATGGAAAGACTCTGGTTTTAGTGGATTTTGGATCAGTTCCTTTGTTGTTAAGGAACTTTGAAGGAATAAACTCTATTTTCAAGCTTCTGAGAGCATAATATAAAAAATGAGTTTTAAAAAAAATATGAAAAATACACATACAGCACTTGACATTTTGGTGCTATATTCTTCACTGACATTTTTTTCAAAAGTAACCCTAACAATAAAATACTGTAATTCCAGAAATAAGTGTCAGGGAACTAACAAAGAGCGGCTCTCTTATTTAAACTAGGGAATCAAAGAATCTTAAACATCCATATCTTGATGAAGTCTAAAGTTTGCAATAAAGAGAGAAACCCAGAAATACAACAAACTAATTATATAGACTTGTATGTTTTAGAAAAATTCTTAGAGTAATATTATAGTTTTCTTCACATAAATTGCTATCAAATCTTCTCTCCCTGTCGTCGTCCCCCCTTTTTTTTTTTTTTTTTGGTTTTGGTTCCTGCTGCTGCCTGATTGTGTACTTCCAATTCCAAATGAGGTGTGTGGTTGACTGGTCAATTCGTAACTCTGAGGTTCTACTGTAGTTATAATTCAGAGCTGTAAAATTATAGTACATAGAGTACCCATTCAAAACACTTCTGTTTAGCTGATGACCTTTCAAACATCAACAAATCAAATGCCTACTGTATTTCATAACTTTGTTACTAAGAAAGAAAAAAGATAGCAAGATCACACTTCATACATGTCAATAATACATGTATTCTTCAAGAATACATGTGATCATACATGACAAGAATACATTACCTGTGGGATGCAAAATGCCACCTCAGATACACTTAGTTGTATAAATGACATCACCTCGATACTAGGATGATAGTGTCTTTGAAATATTTAAAATAGATTCTTTGGAATGTTTTGGAAGACTAGAATTCTCTTCAATATTGTTTACTTCTCCGTATGTGACATTGAGTTTTTGTAATATGGCCATTATTCTAAATAATCTTTCAGCTACTCTACATACTGTGTTGTTATGTTTGGACACCAAATACAAAACAATTAGGTTTATGTCATCCTTGTAGAACAAAATTCTCTATTCCATGCTCAGTCGGGCTATATTTGACAAGCTTGCTTTCTTCAGAGGAAACATATATTGGGGAAGAGGGAGAGAGAGAAAAGGTATCATCAGCTACAATGTCATTGCCTCTGTTGAAGAGGAGAGGCTTGTGAAAACAGATGTATTGACTATACACAGAATTTGTATTACATATTAGACACATTAGACTTTGAGCTCTGTTAAACAATTTGGATAGGGCTCAAGATGACTACCTAGGTCTTTGTTTTCTCAGAGCATGGTTTCAAAGTAACTAATCCCTCCCATCTAATTTGTGTAACTCGAGCAACATACATTATCAACAACTTTCTTTCCGTTTTTGAAGTGTTCTGTTTATCCAAGATAGTTCTGTGTATGCTGAGCTGCAGAGGCTCTGAGATTTCATTTTCAATGGGCTTGATTCAGCTCCCATTGAGGATAATAGAAAGATTCTTCAGTGGAAGTTGTGTTAGACCCAGAGACTGTTTACTCCATCTCTATAGACAGGAAGAAAAAAAAAAATAAAGTAAAGCCACTTTGACCAGCTGGGTACAAGCACCTCGCTACTGCCACGCTAAAACCTACCCTGTTATTGGATGAAAATGGACATTTTGAAAAGAAGTGGCACAACTGTGTGAGACTAAAGTTTGACTGACAAATTTCTGCACCTCCACCACTGTCCTTCTTTTTAAATATATGAATAAGCATTAACAAGGTATTTTCCACCAGTGTTGTTTTTATATTTAATATGCACAGACTTATTCCAAAGATCAATTACTCTCATAATTTCAATTCAGTGATGTGGACCACAGGGAAGCACATGCCCAGTGATCTAATCCGAAACACTCTTTTACAATTTAATTTATGTAATAGAAGCATTATGCAGCAAGCCCTGTGCCATACGCAGCATTCTAGGGTGTTTGGTTTTAAACAACATAAACAGCATCTGTGAATGGCACAGTTGTGGGCTGACACTTATAAAAAATGATTTTTGAACGCCATTGCCCAGACTAAGAGGTGATTTGTCTAACCCTGTGATATAGAGTTAATTAGAAAAAAACATCATGGCTAATGGCATTTTAAAACCACTCAAAAACAGAGGAATATTATTCTGCTGCAGAGAGTCATGTGTTTTACCACTTTCACTGAAACATGTACTGATCAGTGAAAACTTCTTAATGTTGACTTAAATTACAAATTTTAGTCTAAATTAGGGAAGCTATTTGATACATACTAACAATTGCTAAGAAACTGTAGGTAGCATACGGTTTTATATATAAAAACATGGCAGGGAGGTGGAATAACCAAACAGATATTTTCCATCTTCAACTTCTATAATTCTTCAATAGCACTACTTAACCAGTAGCCTTTTAAAAGTTTTTTTTTTTTTTTTTAAATCTCAGGACGTACTTTGTTTTATAAATTTTTTAGAAGATGTTTCAGTTGCTGTTGAAACCGAATGCCAACAATTTGAAAGCATGAGGATTTTCATGGATTTTTTTCAAAATAGGCCTCAGAGGGTATGTCTGCACTGCAATAAAAGACCTGTGGCATGGCTATGGCTGGCCCAGGTTCAGCTGACTTGGGCTTGCAAAGCTATAACATTGCAGCATAGGTGTTTGGGATCGGGCTGGTTCAAGCCCCGCGAGCCCAAGTCAGCTGACCCAGGCTCTGAGATTTTGTGCCATGGATTTCTTATCAGAGAATACCCATACCCCTAGAGTGGGATTGTGGTTGCAATGTTATCCGTAAGTGTCAACTATAGTGAAACAAGTTACGACTGCTGCTCCATAATTAAATTAAGATATATAATTATGGAGCTGGGACTGAAACCATGATCCTCTAATTTTAAAAATAAAGGTCTCTCTACCATTTCAGCTACAGAAAGACCTCGATTAGAAAAACCCTTATTCTCTCTAAGATGTAACCAGTCAATAGAGGGCAACATGCCTGTACACACATAGTTCCTGAACTTGCTCCCACTGAGGTTGATGGCAAAAGAACTCCTATTAAAATAATTGGGAGCTGAATTTGGACCAAAAGTATCCACAGCAAAAAATTTTGCTTAATTGTAACCTATATTCTTCAAAGATAGCCAGCATCTGAGTATGCAAGGAAAGTTAACCATCTGGAACGTTTGAAGTGCTATTAACAAACTGGTTTTGAGGTAAAAGGAGATAAAAGTTATTCGACAAATCAATTTCAAATCAGGATATAATTTTTTGTCGTGACCTGTAACTTAAAAACAGTTTGACAGATTTTCTTCAAACCCTGGAACCATTGTTCTTTGAAAGAAGAGTGAATGTGGCAACTTTCCAAGTCAGTAGCTGATCTTGGATTTTTATGATGAAAGCCGAGTGCAAGCTTTACCTGTGGAGCAGCTACTGCCTCGCCATAGTTTTGTCATTATGTTTCCTCAACTTCTATTTGTCTGATCAGCGTTAGCACTTTTCCTCTATCATAACATTCCATACATATCTAAAACCAAGTAAAGAATAGAGTCCCATTTAAAACAAAAGAGGTATTTTGGGCATCACATTATTTGCTGAGTACATTCTGGGCAACCAACGAAAAATGATGAGGCGATAACCATTAAAAATAGACACTTCCCATGGAGAATCTAGCAAAACAAAATGGTGATCTGAATTGCTGCAAAAATAACTCTGACTAACTGCTGTGACCTAAAAGAGATTAACAACTATACTTTGGGTTTTCCTAGGATCGCTGTGCTGCTATAGAATTATACTGGCGCTTTGGTCCCAGTTTCCATCTAAATAAATATATAATGTAATGTAAACTTAGAACCTTTTTAATTTATTCATGAGGTATAATTTAATACTTTGATTTCTCTTTTTTATAAGTCACATCATATTCATTGTTTTACACTAACTTCCTCCAATTGCAGCAGTATCCATCACCGTTTCATTATTCACTCTTTTCCGTGTGTGTGTGTGTGTGTGTGTTTGTGTGTTGATGCTAATCTGATACTCTCTCACTAAAAGCATATATATTTCCATAATTATAAAGTAATGCTAAGTGTGGCAATTCTGTTAATTTCAAATTATTAGAAGGACAAGCAGAAGAAAGAAAGGAACAAAAGACCTCAAAACCCAGTTGTATTTTAAGCCCATGCATATGACAACAATTACAGTCAAAACATAATTTGGCATTGGTAGCAGAATTAGATTTAAACAAATTGATTTTACATGACAGTAATTCCAAATGAGCTTGTTGGATTTGTAAACCATACTAAGAAGCACATGAATTGTTGCCTCTAAAAATAAAAAAGAGAATAATTGGTGAGATGGAGTTAACTTAACAGATGACTACAGTCAGCATCCTTTCAACCTAGAAATGGGAATGTGAAGGTCACCCCCATCTCAGATGACAAACAGAGAACATTTTGTTGGTAAACAAATTAATCTTTTGAAAGGTCACCATTTGTTTTAAGTTTTTATCCAGTTCTTGTCATCTGGAATCAGAGATTGACTGTCATTTTGCTAGGCAGGGTGCAGTCGGAGCCACCGAAGCTGCTTCTGTACATA